CTCAGCCGTACTCTCTGGGCGCCATCCCGAAGCTCGGAGCCAAAGTGCGGAATAAGGCTGAGGAGGTCAACATGGGAAAAACAAGCTCACTATTCTTGAGATTCCCGAAAATCTTCGGAGATCCCTTGTCTTACAGGGCGTTCGGATAGTAAATTGCCTTCTTCTGCGGAACCGGGTACGGAATGAGACTGTGTCAAGGCCACAAACGCCACCGCGAGCCGTGTTGCAATATAGGCATGTACTATGTAGACTGTGCATGAGCTGATACCTCCGACGTCTCAGCCGAACGACGAGAGCCGCCTGCGGCCATGTTCATCAGATGATATTTGATTTGAACGGATTGCTGAATCAAGAGGAGCCGGGGCAGACGGCCGCGTCATGGGATGAAGGATAGTCTGGCGTTCGCTGTTTTGGGCTGCATTGCTGGTTCCCTCGCTCTCTCGTTCTTCCTTTCGCCCTGCTTATTGGATTTACATGCATAGTAATACTAAAATTTGTACATTACATCAAGACGAAGAGATCAGTGTGTTTTCTACTTCGCAGGTGAATGAAGCCTTCAGCTATAGGTGTCGGGGCAGTTGTGGTTCATTCCTCGAGCTTTAATTCAAATTATGTATTCTACTCGGAACAAACTGTAATTCCCCTTCTCCCATCCATTTTTTTTTTCTTTAATTCTTTTTTTTTTTTTTACCCAACGTCGCTCGCTGTAGACCGATCTCTATCTGGATATTTGATGATTCGTCCATGGTGCTTCACATTACAGGCGGCCTTATGCCCTCCCATGCGCCTACAATTCCCTTACAAAGTCAGATCTATATTCCAGTAGGCAAATATAAGCATATTTCATCTACTCTAGGACTTTAACCGTGATTGCGGATCAGAATCATCGATCGGAAATCAGATCGAGGCTCTGAGGCAGCCGGAGGGAACAACGTATATCCGCCGACAGCCGCTTCGGAAACTTTCTCGTTCCCCACACCCTAGACCTCAATAGTAAGAAGCAAGAGCCGCATTTTGACCATCGCTCTCCAGGCTTTTGTGATATTTCCGTCCCTGAAGCTCTCTAATATCCAAGATCTTGTAGACAGTGTAGATAAAGGGAAGGAGGCCCTCGAGGGTACGCTTGGCGTGAGAGACAATCGACGAGAACCATACCATAGCCAGGAGTAGTTCTGAATAGAGCAAATACCTTGCTTATACTCAGAAAATGTATGGAGAAATAACACTTTTTCATATTTTCAGATATATATCGTGCTCTGTAAGAGGAAACTCACGTCCATTCATATGGGCGTCGTAGAGTGACACCCATCGAGAGCTCGTGGATGGGTGAGCCTCAATCCGTATGAGATGCGTAGAGTTGCCTCGAGCTTGTTAGATGCTTGTGAGATCTTAAACAGCTTCGCCGAGAGCATGAAAATCGAATTCAGGCTGCTATTCCAAGAGAAATGGTGTGCGAAATGGAAAATCAATGGGCGTGGGCGTACAAGAAAAATGAGGAAGACTGAACTACCTACACCCTAGATTGGATCGCATCGATTAAATATGGCTCAAGAAATCAAGAAATCCCCAGTCAGCCTCACGATGGAACTGGCCATTCATCGCGGCCATCGACGGACAGGAGAGCAGAAACTGTCTGATGCTTGGGTGTCCCTGCCATAACGGCTGAAGACGCAATGGTGAAAGATGGCGACAGGCAACAGGCTGCCCCTGAGAGTTCAGAAAACTTTGGAGTATCATCAAGAAGAGCAGGAAAATCTTTCATTGGGGAAATTGGACAACGTGCCGCAGTCCGTCGTGTCGCAGTTTCCCGAGAGTAGGTGCTCATTGATGCGCTCTATGAAAGACGACGACAACTCTCGTTTGGAAGCGACCGAATTAATCGAAACTGGAAGAAAAAGACGTAGAAGTAGTCCCGGATAAAGACGTTGGCGACACCCAGGCAAGCTCGGCGGATTTCTCCCGATCTATTTGAGCCTGATGAGGAGGTTGAGGCACTCAGCAGCACCGAGGACATTGTAAAGATTGGGCATCTGCCCTCTAATCAAAGCTGTTGTGGGATTCGGTTACATTGGAGGCAGTCATACAATCACTAGTAGAACCATATGCTCAAAAGAGAGTGATTGTGATCAAACTTGCTTGGCTACGAAGAATATTTTTATGCTAACGTAGGTCGGCTCCAAAGATTCTGCTTCTCTGCCTTCAGCTCGACTGCCTGCAAAGCATTCCCTCAGCTGAAGCTTCTCATGGGGCCATAAATCAAACGTACCAAAAGGCGAAGGCGCCCTGAAACAAGAGATGTAGCCACCTGTTTGATCAGGTCAATTGATCAGGTAGTAGGCATAGTGACTGTGCCCAGAAGGCCTTGCTCTGGGTCTCCCTCTCAAGGAAAGGAATTCCACCATTCATGAACTCCGTGAATCACTCTCAACAGAGGCCAAATCAACGAATTATGACATGAATTATGCTCTAGCTAATGGAGATGTCGTTGAAATCTACAAGAGAGTCGTCGGAATTGAGGAGACGGCCCAGTTTGTGAAGCTACATCGCGCCGGATTGGGTCTCTCTCCCAGATGCCTGAGGATTGGAATAAGAGCAGCCTTGCGCGCATAGAACCCTAGTATGGTCGATGCTAAATAGTGCGACAGTGAAAATAGCTGGCCGCTTGTCGTTGTTGCGAGCAACGGCGGCGGAGAAATCGTGTGTGTGCTGATTGAGAACAGCGTCCAAGTAGACGGAGCTTACTTGAACATAGAAAGCGCCCCTCGTTCTGCGGCTCAATCAAATTGTGACCACCTGGTCCAGCCCCTTCTTAGCCAAGCAGCCGAGGTGGATGTTCGGTCAACGGCTGGATGGACAGCACTGCATTTTCGAGTGACTTCTGGCCCCATCCTAGCTCGCGCTTCTCTTGAAGCTCAAACATTCGCGGCAGGAGACTCCTCTAGATACAATCCACGAGCCAAATAGGCATCGCGTCTCAATCAATCAATGTTGTGTCGACGGCCAAACGCCATGACGGCAATGGATTGACCACTCTGATGTATGCAATCCAGGCGTCTGTTGGAACCCTCGCGCGGCCTCTTGTAGACGAAAGGACTGACTGACGCCTGGAGCCAAGAAGGCAGAATAGCGTTTTCTTGGGCAGCAAGTGCTGGTCAGAGACAACTGGTCGAATACTTCTAGACACTGAAGCTAATGGAAACACCAGAGCAGATGATTGCCATTCGCCCGTTGACTACGCCATCCAAGGTTCATCGAGAAGTGGAGGAAGTCCTTCAACAAAAATCAGCAATATCTGCCACTAGGGCACTTGGACCGGTGGGCGTGTGTGACGATTTGGATTGTCACTAGAAGCCAGTTGGCTCGTCTCTCACTCGGTTAAGAAGGCAATTATCTACAGACAACGCGAATGACTAAAGAGGAGAAAATTGAGGGATCTCGGCTTCTCTGATAGCAGGTGACTGACAGCAATTGACATTCATTCATAATCGTTTCGATGGCTTTCGCCGACAAGGGCCTAACCTGAAAACAAGGTCATTTCCGCCCTGTCTGTGAGAATTACTTGCTCTTTTCATTATAATACTCCCAGCCTCAATCCTGAGAAAGTTCCAAGCCGCATAGCGAGCAATCACGAGGGTCAATTATCACATAAGTCTTCCCAGCCGGCACTGCTTGATTGCCAGGACCTCAGACAGCCTTCTCCAGCAGGCGAATAAGCCCATCCTTATCAGCCCCAACAAGATCGCCGGCGGGCTTATCATCAAGGAACAGCTTGAAGGCGGGCATTTCACGGACACCCATGTCTGCGGCGAGCTCGGGGAGCTGGTCAATATCAACCTTGAGGAAGCGAACGTCCTTAAACCTGTCCTGCTCAGAACACCTACACAATTGACGTCATGATTTGGTCAGACCACACCAATCAATTTGATTGAAGGCTAGATGGGAGACAGTTGAGACTCGGGGGAGCGACTCACTCGACAAAGGCGGGAGCGATGGTCTTGCACGGGGTGTACCAAGTGGCGTAGAAGTCGACAGCGACAGCCCTGTGCTTGTGCAGGGTCTGCTCAAAGTCCTCCTTGCTATCCCGTCGACCGAATAAGCACTTGAGACTGACCAGGGCAGCCTGGGGAGAAAGGATCGACTTACGTTTTGATGTTGTGAACACCCATCTTAGTCCTGATTAATAACTGATTGTTTGTGTGATGTATATCGACGCAACGTCAGCGCGCTTCTTACAATGGGTCGGTATTTTTGAGGGAAGAGTCAATTCCAGGGAAAATGCCTGAGGGGGAGAATCTTCGCTTTATTTGCGTAGCTCTCCTCTCTCTGGTCAAGCAATGACGTTTAGAATTCGGCTCATACTGGCTAGTAAGATGCCCATGACGCCATGGCTCTTGTCTACCTTCATCGTTCCAGTCACTAGAAGAATGGATTCAATCAATGGAATAATTATCTTCTCTTCCTGGAGCGAAGGAGACAGCACACACAGCGAGAGAGTGAAGCAGGCCATCACTGGTCTGACGACACTCAACTTGATCAACGCCACGACAAGAATATCGATGCAGGCGTTAACGGGGCCGTCTAATACTCCTCTCCATCTTCGGCAAGCCAACTAGCCATCAGCATTCCGGCAAGCTCTTGCTCTCACGCCAATCACGCGGCTGCGGGTATCGTCGGGGATCGGCTCCGGATTCGCCTCGACCAATTCCGCAGTCTTTCCCCACACCGGCTTCAAGCTCTCCCCGCGCCTTTGCAGAGACACGAACAGGAGAGCTCCTTATAGCTATGTCATGTAGTTCATTGCCATTTGGGCCGAGCCCACTCCCTGGGATGAGGTCCTGAGTTCCGTCTTACCACAAGAAAAGAGCCCCGTCCTCCTTCATCTCATCCATCACCTCAGTCAGCTCCAGGACAAACGCCAGCCATGTCGGACATCACACTCTACAGCTACTTCCGCTCCAGCTGCTCGGCCCGCGTCCGCATGTCCCTGGACATCAAGGGCATCCCCTACGACTACGTCCCCGTCAACCTCCTCAAGGGCGACCAGCTCTCGGACGAGCACCGCGCCATCAACCCCTCGGCCTCAGTCCCCCTCCTAGTCCCCAAGTCCAGCGGCGGCCCAGACCAACACGAAGGCGTGCCCTTCCGCATCGGCCAGTCCCTCGCCGCCCTCGAGTACCTAGAGGAGGCCTACCCAGACACCACCCGCCTCCTCCCCAGCGACATCAGGGCCCGCGCCATCGTCCGCGCCCTCGCCAACATCATAGCCGCCGACACACAGCCCGTGACCAACCTGCGCATCATGCGCCGCGTCCGTGAGCTGGGCGGCAGCGCCGAGGACTGGAACAAGTCCCTCATGGCCGAGGGCCTGCGCGCCTACGAGGCCGTCAGCGCGCCGTACGCGGGTCGCTTCTCGTACGGCGACGACGTCTCGCTCGCGGACCTTTGCCTATTGCCGGCGGCGTGGAATGCCCAGCGATTCGGGGTTGATCTGGCCGAGTTCCCGGTCGTGAGCAAGGTAGTGAAGAACCTGGAGGGGGAGCCGGCGATGCAGAAGGCGTCGTACTTTAGGCAGGTTGATACGCCTGAGAATCTACGGGCTTAAACAGCATCATTTTGTTCAATTCAATGTCTTTTTTCCCAATTTGTGTTTCGGTTACCTGCCAGATAGCGGATTATCAATAGGAGACTATCAATCAATCTATGAATAAAGCTCATTCAAAGTCATACGCATTCAATTGTGCGCGCACTGCATATTTCATCTTCATTTTGAGACTTCCACCAGCTTAAAACAACGCAACTTAAAACAACGGGAGAGCAGCCTGGATAGTGCCAGACACCTCGCCGAACCCGATCCTCGCCCCGTCCTCCCCGGCCCAGCCCCGGATCACCAGCGTGTCCCCGTCCTGCAAGAACTTGCGCTCGTCGCCGCCGACCTGGATGCCGGCCTTGCCGCCCCCCGTGATCTCCAGCAGGCTCCCCTCGGTGCCCGACTCGGTGCCGGAGATGGTGCCCGAGCCGAGCAGGTCGCCCGTCTGCAGGTTGCAGCCCGTGATGGTGTGGTGGGCGATCATCTGCGGCCAGGACCAGAGCAGGTTGCTCGAGTTGGTCTTGGAGACGGTCTTCTTGGAGCCGCCGGCGGCTGCAGATATGTTAGCAACAGTTTTCGACCTTGATATCCAGATATAGACTTACTTGTAAGATCAACCTCCAGATTGATATTCAGCACATTCTCCTTTAGATCTTCTTTAAGATACGGCAGCAGCTCGTTGTCATTCTTGATCCCCACCTTCTTGGGCACGGCGTCCGCCAGCACGACCCAGGGACTGATGCTCGTCCCCAGATTCTTAGACGTGAAGGGACCCAGCGGGATGTACTCCCACGCCTGGATGTCCCTCGCGCTCCAGTCGTTCATGAGCACGTACCCGAAGATGTGCCCCTCCGCCTCGTTGACGGGGACAGGGGAGCCCAGCTCGTTGGACCGGCAGACGAACATGCCGAGCTCGAGCTCGAGGTCCAGCTTCTCGCAGGGGGCCAGCGAGGGGACCTTGGGCTCGGCCTTTGGGTCGCGCAGGATCTGGCCCCAGGGCCGGCGGATGGGGGTGCCCGAGACGACGACGCTGCTGGCGCGGCCGTGGTAGGCGACGGGGAGGTGGGTGTAGTTTGGCTGGAGGGCGTTGGCGGGCCCGCGGAAGAGGCAGCCGACGTTGTAGGCGTGGTTCTTGCCCGCGTAGAAGTCGGTGTAGTCGCCGATGGCGAGGGGCACGTGGTTTGTGATGTCCGCGAGGGGCACGAGGGCCGCGTCCCGGAACTGGACGTTGTCCTTGAGGAGGGCGGCGTACTTGGTGTCGCTCTTGAAGACCTCCTGGATGTACGCGCGCGTGGCACGGTGGAAGGGCTGACCGAGGGCGGCGAAAGCGTTCAGGGTCTTCTCGGCGAAGACGGACCTGTACTGGTGGATCTCGGCGTGCTCTGAGAAGCCGTTGGCGGAGCTGAAGGCCTTGAGATCGAGCGCATAGTCGCCGATGGCAATGGCCGGGCGCGGGGTGGGATCTCGCTTGGTGGAGATGATGCCGAACGGGATGTTGGCCAGGGAGAAGGGCGCATCAGCGGCGATGTTGAGCCAGGAGGATGCCATGATGGGCAGAAGTAACAAGTGGTGATCAATGAATGAATGAAGACGGAGGTGCAGAGGCGAGATGCGAGAGAACTGAAGGGATATAGAGGGGGAGGGGTTACGCAGTGATAACAAATCTGGATCAGAAACGGCAGGGCATGTCTCGACCGATCTCGCCAATCAAGCCATCTCATCGGCGGCACGAGATGGAGCTCTCAAGATAACATCATACCTGTATATGTAATTCTCTCCATGACAGCGGCCTGTGCCGAGTCCAACCGGTCGGAATCGGAAACCCAAGGCCCAGTCCGGCCAATCCGAGGCCGCTTCCCCAGATTTTGCCCTCAAGGCCGCCGCGCGGAATTTCGCCGCAATTGAATTGCCCCTCAGCCCCTCTTCTGGCCGAGCCCCGCACTCACCAGCTACCCTAGACTCCAGCTCAAGGCTCTTCAAGAGTCAGTCATTCACCTTACCTACTTATAAATATATACGTCTTGTCTGCGCTGAATCATTAATAGGCTATCCACGGCTGTGTCCGAGCCTCTCTCCTTCAACCAGTCGGGATGTGAAGAAATCTCCTCCATCAACTCTAACTAAGGCACGATAGTATCATATAGCAGCGGGCATGCTTACCATCATCGAAACCACATCAAGTAGACACTAAATTCAAGCCGAACAGACCTCTAGAAGGCCGATATCAATTTTCATAATCATGCATATCATTCATTACCACAGATATCATTTTCATACCCCATAAATCCTTCCCAAAGACCCCCCATCACACCCTCGGCCAAAACGTCTCCTCCGCCGCCAGTACCTCCCTCCACAGCTCCTGCGCCCTGCTCAGCAGCTTCCCCTTGATCCCCTCCCCGTGCAGGCTCACCTCGAGCGCGACCGCATCGTCCACAATGGACCCCAACCTCTCCACGAACGCCCCAAACTCCTTGCTCGTCCAGTTGGGTATGAACTCGTCCCTCAGCGCCCCGCCGTCCGCGTCCCCCCCTTGCGCAACAGGCCCCATCCGCGCCTTCACCCCCGCCCACGCATCCAGGTAGCACCTCTCGGTCGCGTAGAACAGCAGCGCCGACTCGAGCCACGGCAGGATGATGTTCCCCGAGTGTCCCACCGACGAGAACAGATTCTCGAAGCGGCGTAGCCCCTCGATCTTGGCCCCCTCGGCAATCTCCCCCCCTTGTGTGGGCAGGTCGACGTCGAGCCCGAACCGTCGCGCGGCCTCGACGAACAGCCTCTCCTCGCGGCGGATGTTGACGAGGGCGTCGACGGCCCAGTCGAGCAGCTTGACGACGAGCTCGTTGGCCCGCGTGGACGGCTTGCTGAGGACGGGGAGCTGCAGCGAGCTGAGCAGTAGGCCTAGGCCGTGGATGTAGGCGTGGATGTAGAGCCGGTCGTTGGCCAGCCACTGCGAGAGGAGGGGCTTGGTGAGCGTCCCCGCGGCGGCGGCGGCGAGGAAGGGCGAGTTGGTCGCGCGCTTGTAGAGGGCGGCGTCGGATGCGAGGAGGAGCTTGGTGAGGGAGCCCATTGTTGTATTCTGCTTGATGTTGGGTATTATCGTTCTGATTTTGGAGATGGGAGATGGGTGCGGATGGCTTCAAGATGTATTTGTGTGATGTCTGCGGGAATTGGCGCCCTCCGCCGCACCCGCTTTGGGCAGCGACCTCGAGCTGCAGCATCTTCCGGTCCAGCTGCCGCATCACCTGTCGCGGTTGGGCCGATTCCTACGTCATTCCTTTGTGATCCAGCGTAGCACCAGCCCGCTTCTGCAGCTCTTGACAGCTAGGACGGGGCCAAAAGCACACCACCAAACTCCGAGCCAGCGCCGAGTAGTCACTGGGCTGCGTCCCGTGGATGATTTCTTCGACTCCCAATTGCGATGGACATTAATCTTCATAATGGTAAAAACGATAATGCTGAGCCAAGGGGCAATGAGACAAGCAATCTGTCTCCTGGAGACACTGTAACTTGGGTGTCTCGCTCCATGATTGGCCAATGGATGCACACAAATACAGTCACAGCCCGACAGGGTGCGTAGAAGAAAAAAAGCAAGAGAACGCTCCCAACTCCAGACCTCATTAGAAACAAGTAATAAATAAGTCTACAAGAAACAACTACCGGACGAGCGCAATTCATTCCAGGGTAGGCTTGGCCCTCAGTGCAAAACCCACCTGGCCGCCCATTTTCGGGTAACCTCCAGGGCGGATACCCACTCTCTCGGCTCATCGAATGCACCTGTTGTGTGACTTTTCACCTCATCTCAGCACCTGACACCCCTCTGCAACTTGTTTCTGCCGGAATTGTCATCTTTATTTCTCTATCTGCCTAGCAGTTCCAGCCCCCGTCTACCCCGATGGATGCTCCGCTGATGTACGACGCATCGCTGCTCAGCAGGAACGCAATCAGCGTGGCCACCTCCTCCGGTTGCCCGACGCGCCGCAGCGAGATCTCCTGATTCAACTCCCTCTCCGCCTCCGTGTTGCTACCGCTTTTCCCAGCCGCCTCGGCAGCCTGCGCAAGCATTGGCGTCGCGATTCGGCCACTGTGCAGGTTATCAAGGTCAGTATTCGTCTCTCAATGACTGTCTAGCAGCAGGGGATCGAAGCCAAGGGAGGGTCTTCATAAAGGGAAAGGGGCAACAACACAACACAACTCAAAACATCAAAACTCAAGAAAGGGGAACAACATACGGGCAGATGGCATTCACGCGCACTCCTCGAGGCCCAACCTCCTTCGCCGCAGACTTGGTCAGCCCGATGACCGCGTGCTTGCTCGCCGCATACGAGCCGTTATTTGACCGACCCGTCACGCCCGCGATGGAGCTGACGTTGACGACGCTGCCGCCCTCGCCCAGCTGCCGCAGCTGATGCTTCATGCAGAACATCAGCCCCTTGGCGTTGACGTCCATGATGAAGTCCCAGTCGTTCGCGCTCATCTTCTCAACGGACCCGGAGTCGCTGTGGATTGTCTTGGGCACCACCCCCGCTAGGTTCGCAGCTCCGTCCAGCCGCCCATACTTGGCCACCGCCTCCTTTACCCACGCCTCCACGGCCTCTTCCTTACGAACATCAAGAGCAAATGTGTGCACCTGCGCTCCGGGCACCTGTGACTGGATCTTCTCCTTGGCGCTGTCGAGCGTCGAAGCCTGGATGTCGGCGATGCTGAGGGACGCACCGCGGGATGCGAGCAGGATGGCCGTTGCCAGCCCCATACCCTGGGCGGCGCCAGTGAGGGCAATGACCTTGTCTTGGAACTGGGCTGCAGACATGATCAAATGATGCCACGCCTCGGACAACAAAAGGATCCGGTATAGCTATCGCGTTTCCCTCCTTTTGGGGGTTTCTTGTTATTCTGGTAGGGCCATTGCTATCAATTGGATTTGGACATGGCCCTTTATTCCCATCAACAGTCGTTACGGTAATCCTTATCCGGCATATGCTCGCCAAGCGACAACCGGGGACGGAAGTCAAATTGACGGCGGAAATGGCGCTGGTGGCATTTCCCTGGGGATAATACGCTAGAACAGAGTGGATGTCGTGTTTCTGGTCTTGGACGAACTTCCAATGAGAGGGGGGATCTCGTTGTGAGTTGGTATGTGTTATGCCGGAGAAGCGGTTAATGACCTCCGACCGGATATTCAGCTTTTTCCACACCACTGCCGATCACCTGCCTCAACACTTTCGACCCAGACTAATGAGTCATTGGATGACTCCAGGCGACAGTCATTGTGAGTCAGTCCTCAAGATGAGAAAGGCTCGTCTCTCAGGGATTAGTTTCACTTGGGCGAAGGATGAGGGAGGCTAATGCTGCTGGTGGGCGACATTTGCTGGATGGGTGGGCATTCAATGGTTGCTGGGAGCGGCCCACAGTCCAGGTCAATGATCCTGGCAAGTTCAGGGAAGCGTCTCCGGAAGCCGTCGCCCACGGTCCAGTGGCGGAGCTGGCGGAGGTGCTCCTCGAAGACGGGGTTGATGGTGATGCCCGAGGTGCCCAGCGCATTGACTGACGCGCCCAGCAGCACCGTCGAGGGGTCGTACGGCCAATTGACCTTGAGCCCGGCGCTGTAGACGGCGGCCCAGTCGTCGAGCGTGATTTCCGGGTGTTTGATCAGGTACTCGCGGGCCTGGGGCCACGGCACTCGGTCGATCCACGCAGCGTGAGGGGTTCTAATTTGATTATGAGTGGGACGGAGCCAATTTGGCAGGAGACCCCAGCTCTGCTGGTCGAGGAGGACCATCCACTAAAACAAGACGAATTCTCACAGGTTAGTGGGAACTCAAGCAGGCCCGCCGCGGGTTCAGCGGCAACGTAGCACGCAGAGAGGGATGGATCCAATTTACCTTTAGCAGCATGGAGATGCTGGAGAATATGGCGACCTGCTCCGGCAGCCCCTCAATCTCCCTGTAGGTCTTGAGCACGTCGGCCACGACGGCGTGGATGTCGTCATCGTCCGAGTGGCTCTTCTGATCGATCAGACAGCTCAGGCTTGGGCGAAGGTTGGCCTTGCCGGCGCCGACGCTGATACTCCTGCTCCGGCCCTCGTTGGACGAGGAGGGCGTGAGGGCCCCGCCCGTGCGCGAGCCATCGACGAAGGACTGGAAGATGTGGTCTGCGAGGCAGGTCGGCGGAGTGTTCCTAGGGCACAGCTCCCACACAGGCGTGGGCAGCGACCCAAACCCGCCAGGCCCCGAGCCAGCAGCAAGGTGGGCGGCCGAGGAGACGACAGACGAAGGCAGGGCGCCGTCGACGTCGCCGCCCTCGCCATTGCGTCCCATCAGGCTCAGCTGCAGGGCGGCGTTCTGGGTGCGCAGCTGGGTGTTCTCCGTCTCGACAAAGGCCAGCTTCGACTCGGCGCTGGCCAGCTGCCGCGTGCGCTGGTCGAGGGCCGTGGACAGGACGGCGACCTGCTCGCCCAGGGTGTGTATCGTCCACTTGGTGCGGTCTCGCATCGCCTGCTGGGACTTGCGGTCGCGGGCTCGCTTCCGCTGCAGCTCGAGCTCGCGCCGCTGCGTCTGCGGGGACTGTGATCCGGAGCTTTGGGGGCTGGCGGTGGCGGCCATTTCGACAAAGCCCGTCTGTGAATGTGCCGACGCTGGCATGGTGGTCGAAGGGTATTCGTGGGTGTGTGTTGAGGTGTTTTTATTTTCTGTTCCCTTCTTCGTTCCTCCTTCTCTTGGGTTGTGGTTGTTGTGGTAGCGGCGATTACGAATCAGCCTCTCGGACTGGGCGTCTATTTTTTTAAACCTCTCTCGAGAGCGACAAAAGGAGCGATGAATCAGATGTGATCTGGGGGGGGAGAGAAGGTGACTAAAATATATGACGGGCGGTGAATATTGAGGGTCTGGGTTACGTTAGGGGAAAGAGGGACCGGGGAGCCAGAAAATGGGGTAAGCTAAGGGAAATGACTTTTGAGGAAACGGCACCAGAGACATTTTGGCATGGGGACCGAGAGTTTCCACAAATTACCAAGAGATCGCGCCTCTTTAAATTTTTTATCTCTCACCCCATTTGTCCCCTTCCGTTGCTTTCCTCGGTGCAATATATCTACGTGTTCCCAACAAACGTCCAAAGAGGAAATGGAGCAGAAGAGATGGAAAACCCAGATTTTTACCCTCCCCCCCCTCCCCTTGACCTCGTGATGGAGGGCTAAGCGGGCATGTCGCCCGGGGCTGGGATATACGTTACATACGCACGTGTTACGAACCACAACAACTACGACCACAAACTTGCCATGGGTGCGGTGCGCGCAGGACACCCTATAAGGAGAGGGCGATTGCGAAGAAACACCGTAACCCGATGTGAGCCAGGTCCAGAGGAAACTGGGGGCGGGGCCATGGGACATGCCACCTCCACCGGCAAAGCCAAGCCCAGCGCCGAGCGAGCGGTTTATTTTCTTTAGGGAGGTGGAGCTGGAAGCAAGTCTGGGCCTTGGGCTCAGAAAATGAGAGCGAGCGAAGGAGGACACACTTGTGGGACTGGAGCGAAAGCGAAAGGGGGGGGAGGGCAAACAGGTTGCTGCTCAGTGAAAAATGATAAGCTTAATATTACAGTGGGCACATGCTGATTGGGGACCCCGTGGAGAAGAGGGGGCCGCCCAGGAAGGGTTGTTGCGGGGGGAGGATCTCGCTGGCGGCCAGTGGAGAGAGCGCTGTGGGCACTGCTGGCGCTCACCTGTTTGGCCCTCGCTGGCCATAGCGCCCATGCACCAGGGAGGAGCGGGCCCCTCGACCAATAATGCGGAGGTGCTATAGCGGTTATTGGCCTGCGCCGGGGCTCTGCGATGGAGCAGGTGCCCTCAATTTCACCGCAATTGGCCGCACGCACGCTGGAGCTGCCTCGTCGCGAGAAGATGCGCATCGTGAGCCATTTCTGGGGTGCATTCGACACGTAATACTATGTAATAACCCGCGATCGGTTCAATGGAGAGGGCCCAACACGACCCCTGCCGCTGCGTGCCAGCACCCTCGCTTCCCCAACTCGACCTGGCTCGCCACCGCTGCATTGCTGGGCGCAGAGGTAGCCAGCCAGGCAGCCAGCGTAGGATCGAGTTGGGGTAACAACCAACCTTCCCTGTCTTCCATGTCCCCGAATCCCCAGGCCATATGCATTCATCCACCTGCGTGTGATATGGAGCAGAATGCGTACATATACGCTCTCCTCACTTCAGCAAGCGGGCAGCAACCCTCATGGAAATGGAGGGGAGAAGAGGCATCCAACCCCCACGACTGTCTAAAAAAGCGCAAAGCAAGCGAGCGAGTGCACGTCTTCCCACTAGAAAAGGGGGCTAGCTGGGGACGCGGACTGGAGTCGCCCGCACTACTTGAGATGGGACGCGGGGAACTAGAATGATGGCATCCATCGATTTCAATGAATGACATTTGACTAGGGCACTCTACCCTCATTAGTCGCAAATCATCACCTCGGTCGTAACGCCGAGCAGGTGGGCGGACCAACCTCGTGAATCAGCTCGGATCTTCCGTCCGTTGGGGACAACGGCCGCTCCGCAAAGAACACACAGCAGCATTCTGCATCTCGTTTCACCTCACCCCCCTGGCAAGAACGGATGAATGGATGGAATAGAAAGCAACAACACGGTCCGGTTAAAAAGAATCTTATCTTGTTTGTGTAGGTTATGTGTTATGTATGTACAGGGAATTTGCATAGACTTTCTAAATCGAGAGTGAGTGATATCATCCAACACACCGCCAGCGGGCGTACCCTGAGCCGAAAGAAGAGAAAGGGGTAGGAAAACAAATAAGACAAAAATAAAATGACACCAGAAACCAATATGGCCCGAAAAAATACAAATCATGATACGACATTTCTCATTGTTGGAGCATCCTTAGCTCCGTCCACCCAGACATCCAATCGCCCTTGGCCCCCCGCGTATGCAAGCGCAGCAACCTTTCATCTGCGGTTGCATGCCAAAATATGTCTCGTCGCAGATTGGATGTTGCAATTTCAGCTGGTCGCTTCCCCGCAGCACCAGCACCAGTCTGCGTCTGCTTGTGTGTGTGAACCCTCCTCGTCGTGGACTGCTCCAAACTCCTTCTGTAAATGGGATGGCTCTGGCGTGCGAACTAGCTAGTCAGTCGGCCATTCCGTCGCCCAACCGAATGAATCAGCGAGCTCCTTGTTCTATTTCTTGTTTTTTTTTTTTTTGCTAGCCGTGAATCCTTCCACCGGCTGCTTTCTCCGTGTCCGTCTTCCGTCTCCGCCGGCATGGGGACCGGGGAAGGCCACTCTCGCCTCTGCAAGCGAGAAGGGACGAAGAAATACTGTCGCAGCAGGCCCGGATGTGTAGCCCGCTGCGCATTGATCAGGATGGCAGCCTCCCCTGTCTTTTCCCCGCGAAACCCGCATGGCGAGAAACGCAGTGCATGCATCTTACATTATGCAGTCCCACCTCACTGAGGCAGGTCGATTCATCCAGCCTTCGCTTCGCCCCCCCAGTCTCCCTGTCCCAATAGGATGAATGTTCATAAACATATCAATCACCAAACCATCGATCGATGCGCTCAAAGTCGACATCCAACGACTCCTTGGGCAGGTCGAGCTTGAGATGCCACGGCGGCGGCGGTAGCTCGCGCATCACCAGCCGCGCCACCTCCTCCCGCCTCCTCGCCGCCTCCCGCTCCCTCGCCTCGCACTCCCTCTCCCTCCTCGCCCGCCACTCCACGTGCGCCGCGATCCGCCCGTCCCTCATCCTCGCCAGCTCCTGCACCAGGTCGCCGTACACCGTGCTCCGCACGTCCAGGCTGGCCCCTTCCTCGAGGAGCACGCCCACCACCTCCTCGTGCCGGTGCATGGCCGCCGCGCTCAGCGCCGTCCCGTACCGCGGG